TTTCAGATTTTCTTGAGTTCTCTTCTTTGAGTTTTCGCCACCTTTTCTCTCTCTTAGAGAAATCGGTGTTATTCGCTAGGTGCTAGCGAACGCCCAGTGCTTGCATAGCCAGCTCCGGTTCTCATTGCTTCCACGCTGCGTCATTCATCATTAATAACAAAAGTCCTCATTTACTATACTTAGTTTTGTTTAATATTTTCCAAGGTATGGCCTTTTATATATTTTTGGCATTTTTTTGTATTTTTATTATATGATTTATGATGTCACAAGTTCAAATGATTGAATTCTTCACCCACCACAAGCCAATACAGTCAATTGTGATGCGGATTCAATCCTTTTTATATACAATGTAAATTAATTTAGTGATAATTATTTGATTAAATTAGACTAGGAAGGTTTGGGTAGGTGGATACAAGACCACTAACCATGCCGGTTAGAAAAAGTGATTTGTTACACATTGAAGTGGCTAGATGAGTTCGAGTAAACAAAAAAGGACATGGGTAGAAATAGTAAGAAATGATTTAGGCTCTAATAATCTAATAATGGATATGGCTTTAAATAGAATGGATCAACGAAACATGATTCATGTAGCCACCCCATATAGTTGGGATAAGGCATGGGTGATAATGATGATTTCTTTCAATTAAATATTTTGTTGAATGCAATGTTAAAATTTGAAAAATATGGACTACTTTAACAGTTTATACTTTTATATAGATATGTCCACAAATCCTTTTTTTCTTTTTTTTTTCTTAATCATAATATTTATTTTTAGTAAATTAAATTTCTAATCAAATGTATTAGAATAATTGATTAATATAAATTAAATTTGGAGAGAATTAATATTTGAAATTAGTATTCTTTTAAACTAATATATAGAATATTTTAGTTAGGAATGGGCCATCTAAATAAATTGATTAATAAATTTTTAATAATATTAGAAATCTAATATTATATTGATTTTTGTATTTAGCTTCTATGTTAAATAAAAATTATAATATAATAAATAGAGTATTGAAATAATAGTAAATTAAATAAATGGATATTTAATAGAATTTCAACTAATGATGAGTGAATTCTTAAATCTTTTGACATTAATGACAATTGAATTTATAATGTCTACTGATGCTTCTATCTTTTAGAATATGCACATAAATAAGAAAATTTATAGGGGTTATTGGATGATTTGGACTACCTCATTTTATATATATAACTAGGGGTTAATCGAACTGTGGGCTAATTTTTGAAACTGAATTGGGGTTATTGGTTTTTGGAAAATCGATATCCGAAGCTGATCGATTAACCGGTTGACTGGTTCGGTTAACCATCGGTTCGGTTTGTTGGTTTTTTATTATTTACAATATTTATTATAAAAAATATGTAAATATATAATAATGCATTTTTATTAATTTATCATGTATAGAAAATATATAAATATATATATATAATACTAGAAATATATATATATATATATATATTATTTTAAATATTAAATGATATATTATATATTATAAATATATATAATGCATTTTTATTAATTTATCATGTATAGAAAATATATAATATATATAAAAATATACATAAAATATATATAAATATATGTATACCGGTTAATTCGATTAGCTACCGATTTTCTATTTTGATTAATTGAAACCGAACCCACTGGTTTGATTAACCGAATTCTCATTCATTTTCGGGTTCGATTTTTCGGTTTGTTTTTTCTCACTCTTATATATAACGGGATGGTGTCAAAAGATGCCAATGTTATACAGGAGAGTTTGGGAACCTAAATTGGTTGAGATGAGTTTATAGCCCCATGTTTGATTTTCTTGTAAAACCCAGTAAAACTATAAGTGGGTTAGGAAGGAATAGTAGGAGAGAGAATAAATGTTGACAGCAGCATTTGAGATATATAGAATAAACAAATTATACATATTATGAGGGTCCATAGCCCATCTCCCCAAACCCATCAGCATTGTGAAGGCGGGATTCGATCCCAATGTGTCAACCTAGAACCAACTAGCAACTGTGGGTGTAGGAGTCGATCAGGCGGCATATATATATATATATATATATATTCCCCGTGTTCATTTGATTTTGATGTCAGTTAAACCAGTGTCCAGCAAGAATTTGTGGAAGGATCAAACAAAGCGGGGAGAAGGTACTTCTTTCCATTTATGCCATAGGCATTGTAACTAGCACCAGTTTTGGGATCCACCAACAGTTTTCCTGCGTAACCAGGATATGCCCCCTTGCCAAACACCCCTGGGCAAGCCGAGGCAGCCTCTAGAGGTGCTTCCGCCGGTCCCTGGAAAAAGCCGTCGGCGAAGGGATTCGTGGCGGTTGCGGCCAAGAGACTGGCCAGGTTGATCACCACGCCGTCCATGCCGACGTCGTTGTTGGGAGGCACCAACGGCGTACCCTTTGGTCCATACACAGGCTGGTGGAACGGCCACGCGCATACACCGGGACACTGAGAGGCTGGGTTGCCCACCCAGATGTATGTGAATTTGTTGTGATGCTCCCCTGCTGTCTTGGATTCCGAGGTACCATGAATCCCGCACCTGCTCCTGCAGAAGCCTTCCACCGTCACATCCGACGACGTCAGTACTACGTTTATGGCATCCTTTTGTTCTCCTCTGGCTGCCAATTGTAGGATTTGCAGGATGGAGAGAGTCCTCCCCATCGAATAATTCTCGTCCAGGATCTGTTTGCCCTCCTGGAGAACGATCGCATCTTTCTTCTTCTTCTTAGATTCCATTTGGTAGTACTTTTCGATGGCTTTCCACCAGCTTGACACAGACGGTTGGGCCTGGCCAACCTTAAAAAACGTCGACTTGCAAAGAGAAGAGACGAAATCGGAGATGATGGCTCGCTGGTTAGTGTTGAACTTGCCATACCAGATGAGATTAATGGAGGTTTTTCCATGGAGAAGGGTGCCATTGTGGTATTGAAAGCGTTGATCTTTTTCGGGTATCCCTTTCCCGGAGGAGAAATGGAACAACGGTAAGAGTTGAAAGAATAATAATAATAAGAAGAAGAAGAACCTGGTAGGAACTGATAGAGAAGCCATTAATTGTGAATGTGTTGGTTGTGGAGAGCAGAAACTTGAACCTTATATATTGAGTTCGGGAGGACGAATTATTTAGTTACATTACATGCTAATAATATGATTCGATTCGTTTGTGTAACTAAAAATAAGGGAGGAGGAAATTGGATGGGTAATAGAAGAAGTTGATGTTAGATACAGCGAAGCCGAAGACATTAGAGCCTAGCGCTTTTCTTTAGCTATCTATTTCCTTTTTTTTTTTCTCCTACTTTTTTGCGAATGTGTCCCACCGAATTGGAAACACCATTGTTTAGTTGATTCTGTCACCACCAAATACTAATGCAGAAAGATCGGACACAGCATTCTCTATCAGGAATGGATAGGAGGTTTGAATGTCGTTGACTCGTTGTATGGTGTTGAGACTCAACACAGGAATTAGGAGTTCACAGTTCTTGAACGACACTCGTCACCTGTATTAAATTAGCATGTTCAAACTTGTTTTGTATTTTCCATTTCTTTCGGGGCAAAGAGAAATGGGTTCCTTCAAATCTCAAATCAAGGAGGGTACACGGCTTGGTAATCTGCCTGAATCAAGGACCCTATCACCGCCTGATCACCGGGTTTGTTGGATCAGTGCAGTGAAACATTCTATTTATCTGCAATACATAATAGACAACTATATACATGCGCTACTTGTTACTCTGCAAATGAATCGGAGATCTGATCCAACCACTACCTGGGAGCAGCGGTGTCCAGCAAGAATGCAAGATGTTGAGCTGTGCAAACCTTTTGGGTTTCATCGCCACCAAGACTCTGATTCAAGGATGATTTTGGTACAGCGCAACCGGACGGCTTCCCATAACACCATATCTACACAGTGAACAATTTGGACTCAATCAGGTGGGTTCAAATAAAAGTGCAGGGGCCGTTAATTTGATAGCTGCTGCACTGAATGAACTGAACTGACAAGTTAGTTGCTTTGGATTACAGTCAACAAGTTTGTAGGGGGTTGTAGGTTCTTTGATGGCTGAACCGCTGAGGTTAAAATTGAGTAGATTTCATACTATTGAATATTTATTATTTCATTATTTTATTAACGAAGACAGAGCAGTAAGCCATTGAAATCGAATTGGTACAACCGATTCATTGGTTAACCGAATTCGATTTTTGACTGGTTTGTTTCTTTGTTTTTTGTTTTTTTTTTTTTATAATTATAACATATATAAATTGGGATTGGGGGAAGGGGGAAAGGAGAGAAAGAGTTAAAGGAGAATGCAGGGTTGGGGCAATAAAGTAAGAAAAAACAAGATGATGTGGACTGTCTTACTATATATACATATCGATTAATTTAATATAATCACATATTTTGATTTTATTTTCTCGGTTCAATTTGATATTTTATAAGCACCCCTAATTGGGGGAAGATCTTCATGACAAGATAAAGTAATCTTACCACTATGTGGCTGTAGGGTCCTGAGATTGGTAGATTTTGATTCGTACGGGTCTCCCATGGCATGCCAACAGTAGGTTGTTTGAAGATTCAAATATTTAGGCCTCGTTTTGATTGGTGGGAATAGGGGTTTAGAATCAAAATGGGTTATTTCAATTCTAGCTGTTTGGTTGGGTGGAGTCAGAATCTAATTCCCATTCCTGATGGAATGGCATTCCCCCATTTCAGTGAACGTCCATTCTCTCTTTCTCCCTTATGAATGAAACAGACCATTTGGATTCTGTTTTCAGCTACAAACCAAAAGTTTTGGACCCTTAGTTAATCATTTGATGGATTACCTATAATAAATTAATTAGAATTGGTTTTCATTCTCTCACACCCTGCCATGCAAAAAGTTTTGAAGCGTAAACAAATGCAAGTCCACTAATATCTTGTGTTGAAATTTTAATTAATTTTATTGGGATAATGGAGATTGAGAGAAAATGCAATTTTTGCTCTATTTGAGTTATACAACAACTAGCCTAGCCAACGCTCTGCTTGGATTTTTCTTTCCTTTCTCTTTTTTTGTCTTTTTTTATGGTTAACTCTAGTTGGGTTAAAGAGGCAAGTTATGGGTCTCTTGATCCATTCGTGCTTCCTGTGTGAACATTATTACTCTGATTAAAGATTTGTATAAAAAGTTATACCATTTGAAGATGGTAGAAATCCAGAGTCGTTAAATGGCAAAACCTCCCATCAATTTCGACCTGCCCTTTTAAGTTTTAACCTCCGCTAACTTTCGGGAAGCGAAACGAAAAGGCTATAATTTATAGCCTCATCGTTGAATCTGATTCCCTATCTTAGTTATGTAGATAAAAAAATAGAAGAATTGGTAAATGGCAATTGCAGGGGTTGGTCCAAAGTACGTACCATAACGCCTATGGACAATGATCCTGGTGTGGATAAAGAACAATATTGACAATGATCTCATTCTCAAAACTCAAAAGGCATTTGGTAATATCTCCTGAAAATCGTTTTGGAAAACCAAAGGCTCCCCTCCCGAACTGCACCGCTTCTTCCTCGAGAACAGTGTGGTTTGATTCAACAGTGGCTATTAAAGTTGATAGTGTAGCTGATTGGGCTTTAAGTGGGAATTTTTACTCTGGAGACAGAACTTCTTTAATACATTTCTGCGCCCAGATTTCTAAACTAGTTCAGACAATACAGGAGGCAGTGATGGACTTCACCCCTCCCCCCTCGCATCCCACCATCTAAAACTGAATTTTGATGGTGCAACTGCCAAAACTGCATCCAATCTTGGATTCTTTATTCAAAATGGTTTGGACCACTGTCCGTGGACATTTAATGAAAGTTAAGCCCCTTCCAGGTCCCAGCGGTTGAAACAAAAACTCTAGCACTAGTCTAAACTGAGGGTTTGAAATTCAGTTTACATCTTGGTCTTGGTATTACAAATTTGGTGGTGGAAGACTGGAAGGTGATGCTCCAAATGTCATAAAAGCTCTGTTGAGACGAATTCATCTCCCCATTGGCGACTGCACTTGCTGCTAGGCTGCTAGCTGATTGCAGAGCTTACCTCTCAAGATTTCAAATGTGCTCAGTACAGTTTGCTCCTAGACTGGCCAACAATGCCTGCTCATCGTTTAGCCAAACATGGCCCGACCATTAAGCATACTTAGACTTGGTCACTTTGCCCTGATTTTCTGTGCTCTTGTATTAACAAAGACTGTATTGAGAGTGCATGTTAACTGAATTTCGCCTTTTCAGGCTTCAAAAAAAAAAACAAAAAAGTGAAGGCTGAAGTCGTCCTTTTATCTCAAAAGTGGAGAGTTAAGGGCAAGTCAAAGTTCAGGGGGGAGGAAGGAACGTGTTGCACCCCAACTTTTCTTCTATCAAAAAAAAAAAAAAATCAGGAAAGAATTAGGCTATGTTTGGTTGGAAGGAAAATGTAGGGAAAGAAAGGAAAAGGTAGGAAATCTTTAGAAACCTTGTATTGGTTTCCCTATGTTTTCCTTCCTTTCCTTATCTTTACATTCAAACCAAACATAGCCTTAGGTCTTTTCAGGAAAGCAGGGGAGAAAGGTCAATGGTGATTACCATTGGCATATGGAACTTTGCTCATAGTTTTACAGTATGGAGCCATGTTTCGAAATTTGTATCCAATCTCATCACCTGGTGGAAAGGCCATACATAATCTACAATGACCAGACGGTAATATAAGCTGTTCCTTTTTAAAGTTTAAACCCCATTTTGAGACTTCATTTGAAAAGCAAACCAAACTAGTTTGCTCATCCATTATTTGATAACGAGAAAACAAATAAATAAATAAATGAATTACTGTATCTCTCATACTCTCTCGTAAGCTCCTCTGCATCTGTCATAGCTCATACGTATGTATGAAGAATACATACATCACTCTGTCTCTGTCTCTACTATTAGCAATAGCTGATACTCGTTTAGCCATTTAACGAAAGGACTTTAGACTTAAACCAGTGTCGAGCACGACGAAGTGGAAGGATCAAATAAGGCCGGAAGAAGATACTTCCTTCCGTTGGCACCGTAAGCGTTGTAGCTGGCGCCGGTCGAAGGATCCACCAACAGCTGCCCTGCGTAGCCAGGGTATGCCCCCTTCCCGTACACACCAGGGCAAGCTGATGCAACCTCGAGAGGCGCCTCGGCCCGTCCTTGGAAGTACCCATTTCCAAAGGGGTTAGTCACGGTTCCGGCAAAGAGGCTGGCCAAGTTGATCACCATTCCGTCCATACCCACGTCGTTGTTGGGTGCCACCAAGGGAGGGGTCTGGGGTCCGTAGATGGGTTGGTGGAATGGCCACGCGCAGTGACCGGGACACTGAGTCTCCGAGTTGCCCACCCAGATGTATGCGAACTTGTAGCTTTTGCTCTTGACCTGCGAACTCCAGGATGAACCGTGGGTTCCGCACCTGCTCGAGCAGAACCCTTGGACGGTAACGTCAGAGGCCGTCAACACTATATTGATGGCATTCTTTTGGCCTCCTTTTGCTGCTAATTCTACGATTTGCTTGCCGGTGAGAGATTTTCCGAGCGAGTAGTTGTCGAGAATCTGCTTACCCATCTTGAGGGAGAGCGAGGGGTGCTTCTTAGGAGAGGCTAAATGGTAGTATTTCTCGGTGGTTTTCCACCAGGTGGCAACAGAAGGCTGTGATTGGGTTGTCTGCTCTAAAGCTGGGGAAGTGGAAAGAGACGAGACAAAATCAGAGATGATGGCACGCTGGGAAGGCTTGAAGTTGCCATACCAGATGAGGTTTACTGAGATTTCGCCAGAGAGAAGAGGGCCATTGTGGTACTGCAGGAGCTGAGCCTGCTCCTGTACCTGCTCGGTTAGTCTCCTAGCAGCCAATGAGAAATGGAAGAGAGAGACAATTAGCATGAGTTGGAAGAAGAGAGTGGCTGAAGCCATTATGTTGACACGCCAAACTATGGTAGAAGAAAATATGGGAAGGTTGTGTTTGTTGTGGAGGGAAGGTGAGGGTTGCAGAGGTATATATAGTTTCAAGAGATGAATTTTTTAATACAAATAATTGCGATTATTTTACATTAAATAATTGGGAAGAAAGAAACAGCCAAGACAGGGCTGACATAATAAGTTTAGAAGAGGAAGAAGAAGAAGAAAAAGATGGTGACTGGAGTGGAGTATGGTGGAGACTGGAGAGGGTTCCGACGCTCCAAACCTCCAACCAGGCAACAGTTGAAGGCCGTGTTCACTATTATTTTTCTATTGCTAGTAATAGATTTAGATTATTAAAATCTGGGCGTCCCTGTATCCAGCTAAGGCCCCCCCCCCCCTTTCACTTTCAGCAAGTGCCAAAAGCCATTACAGCAGAGACAGTAAATGGGTCACCAATGACGAAAAGGTCCATGTACATTATGGTTTTCTGGACGCGGGATTAGGGGCATCCCAAGGGAAAATAGCAGAAAAAGAGACGTTGAGAAGGCAACAGACAGGCTGGAGACAGTATACTATGTTATGGGGATGCGCGGACAGGCCAACTGGCGTCGTCGTTTTGCGTGGGGCTTTGAGTGAGTCGCTTACTCTTTCATAAAATATGACTATGAGAGTTGAGAGTAGAGAGCATCCGAGGTGAAAAAAACACATAAAAACCACGACTCAGGCTTCTTTAGTTTTAATTTGGGGTTGGTACTTGGTACACAGTACCGCTCGCTGGTTGTGAATTATATTGTGATGTCGGTACTTTCAACGTGGATCAAACAATATCAACATAATCAGATGTATTTGGACAAACAATTTGGTTAATTATTAATGGATCATTTCCAGAGCTTTCAGAACATTAATGTAGAAAATTTGGATGGTTTCGTGTGCTTAATTAATCTTCATTAGCCTAAATAAAATAATTATTTTTAAAGCAAGAGGCGTTGAATGTTTTGGACTGATCAGATGACAAGTAATGGCCCCAGAGGGACGTCTATTTGATTACTTTGCGTAAATGCTTCAGAGGCTTAAACACTAGTTCATTTACACGCAACCCATGAAAATGAACCAGCACTCAGCATTTAGTCAAGGAATCAGAAAGGGCAGAAGAGATGCCAACTGGTCTGGATGGAGAGAGATATAGAGATCTAGAGAGATCGAGAGAGAGAGAGAGAGAAAGGGGTTGGCTGCAGCTTTTCCGTGGTAGCTGTGTTTATCGATACAAGAGAGCAAGCAAGGCTGAAAGCTGTGGTTTTGAAAGTGATGGAGGGGGATGGGGCTGATTGAATCGGTTTTCATTCACTCAGTCTCACTCATACTCTCAAAAAACAATTTGCTAATATGTGCAAAGTGCTAAAACATATGTGGTTAAGGTCATTTGTCTCTTTTCCATCTGAAGCTACACCCCAGACATCTCTTTAATCTTTATTCTTGTCTCAACACTCAAACAAGCGGCAAAGTCGAGAGGCTGGATAGATTCCAAATTCCCAGTTGGTCATTCACTGGTTTTCTCAACAAAATATAATCTATCCTTACCAAAAAAAAAGTAAATATATATTTATATCCATATATACAGCTATTAAAATTGAAAGTATAAATAAATGCATAAAATTTTTATTAATTAAAACATTCTTATTTTTTGAATTTAGTCCTTATCTTAGTAACAAATGCAATTTCAAATATTACTTTTTTACTTCACTAATTTTCTATTATTAAATGCTATATATAAGTTATTTTTCTCAAAAAAAAAAGACTTCTATTAATTAAATTTATACCCAATGTTGTTAATAATGTAAAACCCATGTTTTTTTTAATTGACCAAAAAATGAAACCTGTTCTTCTATCTAGGTATCAAATAAGCAATTCAATCGTCCAGATAAACTGGGTCAATATGTCATAATTAAATAATAAAATTTTTAAATATAAAAACTTGCAAAAAATATAGAAAAATTTGAACACATCTCTAATATTTAATATTAAAGAAAATATGTCTGATAAAAAAGAATTGTTTTTATTAGTGATGGAAATGATACGGAATATTTAAAACAAAAATAAAATTGTTTTCCTACTTGGTTTTGGTGGTAGATCAAAAGTTCAATCTTTTGGGTTAAATGCATCAACCATTCATGTCATAATTAAATAATAAAAATAAAAAAAAAACACAAGAAATTGTAGATAACATTTGGGCACATTTCTAATATTATATATTTTAATCATATTTAATAAAAATAAGTGTGATAAATAAGAATTGTTTTTATATGTAGAAATACTTTTGGGGATGTGAAAATTTGAACCAAAGCACTCATGGTTACTCATGACTACCAAGGCTCATGGTTACTCATGATTACCAAGGCCATGGTCTCACTTGACCATTGAGTTAGTTAAATTATTTGATCATTTGTTTTCATTTTAATATTTGAATGTGTATATGTAAAAGGTAATATTTACAAAATTTAAATTTAAATTATAAGTTTTAAACTATATAATGACAATGTACATATTAAATTACTCAATTTAATCAATATAGATAATATAAGTTTTAAACTATATATTATATTTATTGAAAAACAAGTTTTTAAAGAACATGTTTTTTTTTTTCTTTGAAGAGGGGGAGTAAAGAAAGAACATGTTTTATTTATAACCTGCAAGGTTTCAAACTACAACGTATCCATGCATCATATACACACAAACAAGTGTCAGGTATTTCGATGTTTAATAATTTTGTTTTAGTTTTTTTTTTCAAAATTCTTTTGGGGGTTTGGTTTTAGGCACGTCTATCCCTGAAACCACTCAAAATTTGAAACCACCCCTATTTGTCATTTGAATCACATTTTGGTAGTTTGTTTTTCAAAAAAAAAAAAAAACAAAAACATTTTTGCAATGATTAACTCCAGGATTTGGCAAAAGAGGGCTTCTTGAATCATTAAATTGACGATTCTTTGATGATTCTTGAATCGTCTTGGTGATCTTGAATCACTAAGATGATACAACACATTGAAATTTGAAAAAACTGACATCTTTTATAATATATCATTATAAATATATTATAATAATAAGTCAAATCACGTTAAACGTCTCAACGAGACTGCATTATAATTTTTCTTTTGTATTTAAAAAAAAAAAAAGTGAAACAAAACACTTGTGAAATAGACTGCTTGTGAAATACTCTGGTGCCTAACACTATTTGCTTCCATAGTTCTAGACAAACAAAATAGCTTTTTCACACTTCTCTAATAACTCTCATTCTCATGAGCCATAGGCTAGTGCCAATTTACTTTCATATGGCAGCTTCTGGCTTTGTGAGGTGGGGTCAACATAGACAGTCAATAAGGTATGTTAGGTAAAAAAACTTGAAAAAGCCTCTATATATATGCATTTGTTCAACCAAAAACTAATAGTTTTTTTTTTTTTGTTGTTGAAACTTGTCATAGGGCCCATTTGGTAGGGCTTCTGCAATGATTGAGTTGTATTGACTGAGCCGCTTTGAAGAAGCTACCTAAGATAGTTTCACCATAAATTTGATTTTTTTTGGCTAATGTAAGCCTATTTTTAACTTTCCCTATTTTACCAAGCATGATTCACTGATTTCCTAGTTTCTCAGCTCATGTATTGCGTGAAGTTGTTTTCCTGTGAGGCTATATGAGCTGCACAATCGACTTTCCTGTGAAGCTATTTTTTAGTAGCTTCTTGGAAGTGGTTTAGTCAGTGCAGCTCAATCAACAAGAAATCCTTGCCAATAACTCTTACTAGCTTGTTCAAAGCGTCTCAATGAAAACAGACCAATCAAAGCTGAAGCCCTCCCAAAAGAGCCCTGAAACTCTCGCTTGGTACAGGGTAATAATTGATTTGGTCCATAAGTTATCAGACATTCCTAGCAATTCTTCACTGAACAAATATGTTGAGCATCATATCCCGTAACACATGGGATAAACCTATGGTGTTTTTAAATTTTAAATTATTGTTTATCCTATGTTTATTTTTCTGTTGTATCTTATCCAAGAGAGAGTCTCTCTCCTGGTAAACTTCTAACTTCTGTAACAAATTATAAATACATTCTAATGGATCACTCAAAGTGAGTGAAACCAATTCAATTCAACCTATGTTCGTTCATGGCATCAGAGCCAGCAACCCAACACACCATGTCGAGCTCCACCCAGTCGAACAACTCTCCTTTTCCAGCAAACTCGAACCCTCAATCCTCTCCTATCATTTCCAATGGAAATCTCTCCACCTTAATGTCCATCAAGATGGATGGGAAGAATTACGTCCTCTGGAGATTTCACATTGAACCAGTTATCTTCGGATCCGAACTCACCGGATGCACCGATGGAGCCTTCGAATGCCCTCCTCAACCGTCTAAAAATAATTTGGTTGAAGTCTGCTCCTACACTAGTTGGGTGAAGCAAGATAAACTTCTCATGGGGTGGCTTCTTTCCACCCTTACTAAACTTGATATTGCTCAGTTGGTGGGATGCAGATAATCTCGTGAGGTGTGGCGAACATTGGAAAGACTCTATGCCTCCAGATCTCGAACTCGCATCACTCAACTCAAGAACCAACTTCTCGCCTTGAAGAAATAAGAAGATTCCATGGAGATCTATTTCTAGAAAATCAAGACTATTTCGGACAACCTCTCGGCAGCCGGATCACCACTATCCACTTCAGATATGGTCCACTATACCCTCAACGGTTTAGGGGCCGATTATGATGTGTTTGTTACCTCCATACAAACCTGTCCTGATGAAATTTGCTTTGATGATTTACAGGCTCTTCTGATCAGCCAAGAACTTCGGATAGAGTCCAGACTTGTTGCAGCTTCAATCCCACCTTCGGCCAACTATTCAACCAAGGGTTCTGTTAAAAACCTCAAATACACTGACAAAGATGGCAGAGACAGAGAGTCAACAAACAAGTCAAAATATGCCAACAATCCTTGCCAAATTTTTGGAGGCCGAAATCATTCAGCTTTTTGGTGCCAAAACCGGTACAACAAGGAATTCAAGCCTCGCTCCAAGAAGTCCAACACTGCTCCTACAACTCATACAACTTTAGTTCCTA